CATAATTCTTATAGTTAATTTAACTTATGATTTAATGACATAAAAGATGTCACCCAAACTGGTGCTGAGTACCAGTTATGCTAAACAGCATTACTCTATATCTTTAGTTCAAGTAAAATTCCAAATAACCATGAGAAATAGACACATAATTGCAAATAATATGTATGCTTCTTAATGTGTGCATTGAATGAGAGGGGAATGTAAATTACAAAGCCAAGAAATTTCTTTCTTGGAATACAAATTTGGGTGAATAAATCAATCTAGGTGCAGGAGGAGCTACCAAAACTCAATCTTTTATTTGTAAGGTCGAATTCCCATATGTGATTTTGTTGCATAATATTGCCAATTACAGATGCACCAGGCCAAGCTGTGGGCACAAACCCCAGGCACTTCGCCCTTGGAGCCACATCAATTACATAGCTTTTTACTGGTGGTACAAATCTTGCTCCATCTGCAAAATGAAACACCAATCTTGGCACCAAAGATTCATTGAACCCGGTCGAATTAAAGCAGAATTCAAGCTGTGGAATATCGAGTTTTAGTCTTGTAAAACTTATTAAGGACAGTTTCAAGGCAGCCATTACTGGCTGATAAGCAGGTTGTGTCAAGAAAGTTAGACTTGAACCCGAATCAAGAATTGTCCCTCCTAAACCATTCACATTCCACACCTTAGCCGGGATTTCTAGCATCATGTTTCCAATAGAAATGCCCTTTATATTTACAGCATAGAACGAACTGGTGACACCTAGGACAAGTTCTGTATGTTGCATTTTGTCGAGTGATGTAATAGAATCTTCACTTTTGTGGGATCCGAATATGAGATAACTCGACAGATTTTGGGGGCTTAAATGATCAACTAAACAGTAGGAGAACTTGCCACCGAATTTCTGAGCAGCTTTGAGCGCAAAGGAGTGTTTGCTATAACCTAGCCCCATAACACCATCTGCCCCCTGGAAACTTCGGCCAGTCGTAGACTCACTGCATCCGACCAGGACGTTGTGAATTCTCGCCTTTGTACCATTCGTCAGGCCAAATGTTACCGTTTCACTAGAAAAGATTCCGAGTGCAGCTGATCCATCTGAGTACCTAATTTTTTGAACCATAGTTAAAGAAAGATACAGAATTAGATTCTGAGTTAAAATTCGTAGTTAATGTCATTCAAGGAATATAGATGATTCTTAACGGTGCTTATTTAAGAACGTCCAAAACGGATCGGGAGAATTATCTCATGTCAAGATTTACGCGAATTAAGTACATCCACTTTTTCCAGCATTGTTGTCTACTAGTTGGAAGATATATAGTTGGCTTGCTGGTCTAGACATTAATTTGTGTACTGATCAAGGACAAGGATGTTCTTTAACCATCCGAAATATGTGAATCCATCGTCCTTCGTTTCAAAATCGACTTCACGACTATGGTATGGGGTAATTAAGGAAGTTGATCTAACCCCGACCAAACAAGCCCTTGCACAGATGCATAGGTACAAATCATGTGAACCAAATCTACTTCGCAATAACTGTCATTTAACTGCCCATGTTAGATGTAGGTAAGAGCTATAATGGCTTAACCAGATAACAGTATTGCTGATGCAGTATATGACTACTGCCCAGCTATTTAAAATGTTACACACCAAGTTATAACCATGTTTGATTAAGCTTAAAAGCTAAAGATGCTATTAAGTTTTGTTAGTAAAAAGAGTCACTTTTATATTCATGTTTGCCAACAAAAGAGCTTAAAAGTAACTTTTACTTTTTAAGCTTGGCCAAATGTGCTTGTGCACATGATTAGTCTTTACGAAACTGAGATCGTATCCCGAAGGTCAGTTGTGACCTCGTGTTTTGACCAATAAGTTAATAAGCTATTAAGTGGAGTAATCCAATCCCGAACATCCCAGAAAACAAAAAGACAAAAACAAAAGAAGCAAATGCATATCTACCTGTAATCATAGGCGCAAGGAGTATAGGGTGAAGGGCATCTGGCAAGAGAGAAGAGACTTGCAAGCTCAATCTTGCACATTTTTGATGAACAAGGCACAGTATGGAAAGACGAAGAATGAGTGGCCCGAAAAACTCTCCGTTTTCGAGATTTCTTCCTACACTTAGCCCCATGGCACCTGTACTGACAGTTCATCCAAGTCAAGTCACTCCCAGTATCAGCAATCAGCATGAATCTTTGTGCTGGGGATCCAACCTTAAAAGACACAAAGTATTGACCTGTCCCAAAATCAGCCCCTGAGTACATTGTCATTTCCCCGGAAACATGGCCATTTTTAGCCTTTCTGCTGCTATTGATACAGGCTGAATTATAATATTTGGCATTAGGACTCTCCCGAATTTGCCTTCTGCCAGTGCTCTTTCGCAACTGTAACTTCTCAGAGATCGAACGCTGGCGAACTGTATCACTATGAAGTAACTGCTTGAGACGCTCAAATTGAGTCATAGGCTGCAAATGGTGCCTGTGAATCAACTCCAGTTTTGTTCCAACTGATTCCCCATGACCATATGAACACTCGGCCAAGAAAATGACCACCCAGAATAAGAAGATATAGAGAAAGAAAACCCTCTGCTGCTGTCTATACATTTTCATATTCATAATACTGCTCATTTCGGAAGTCAAGATAAGTATAAATAACCTAGAAAAAATGCAGGAAACTTAAAGCAAAAATCAAAAGAAAGGATTGTTAAGATGGGGATGATAAGAAAAGAGTAGAAGCAATTTTTTCAGCTAATGGGGACGTTTTAAGAGTAGAAGCAAAAATTTCAGCTATCTTTTAAAGGGTGGAGTGGGGTGGGGTCAAATCCCCCGGAAACGACAGATGTATTTATATGACAAGGAAAAGGGAGGCTAATAAATTTAAGATTTGGGAAGAGTCCAATTTACTGTGCGCTGTTAAATGATGAATCAATTATATAAAATAGAATTTTTTCTAATATTGATATCTTTGATGGTTTTATCGCTGTGTCTGTGTCAGTGTCATGTATATGTGTGTCTATATATACAATATTGCTATATGTACATTTTTGTTGACATTAAATTTGACATTGTGCCACTTATTGCAGCACAAATAACCAGTTTTAAGATGAAAAACACTTTCCCTTCCTTTCATTTTTGAATTTGCAAGTAATGTCAAACTCCATATACAACAGAGAGTATACAAGGAGTATTATTCATATAAATAATGTTATTTGTAGTGAAGACTACCAACAGTCGCTTTATGTGACGTACACTTGAAAATTTTTCATTTGATGTATAATTCAAATAATAACTACTATATCTATATATCAAATACCAAATCGCCAAGTGTATGTCACATAGGACGACTACTGACAGTTTTCACTACTAATAGCATTACTCTATTCATATATATAGCAGTTTTATTGATTGTGGGCTGTCATGGTGATGGACGGTTGATTTCACACAAATTCTCTCTCTCTCTCTCTCTCTCACGTGTGTACGTATATATACTGTATGTATGTGTAATGTGTTCACGAGGTGTTTGATCTGAAATTCAACCCTCTTTAGTTTCAATCATTAATAAACGAGTGGATTGCTCTATGAATGAATTTGACAGCAGCAAAAAGTTGTCATGAGGGAAAAAAATTCCGCCCATGCGCCAGGGATTAGGTTCAATGATAGAGTTCTTCTACACAAAAAAATATATATATATTTCGACGTATATGTGGTTGTCGACTTTACAAGAGTAGACATTTGGTAGAAAAATGAATATAAGTTGCTCGTGACGAGACTAATAGTATTTATTATATAATAATGAATTTCGAAATGATGGGAGGTGAGGAATGTCTCCGAATGCGCTCAAAATAGGATTATATTAGCTGAAGCTCCATTTTGTTGCACGCATATACAAACTGGGTCGGGTTCAAATAATTAACAGCTGAGATTTGACTATGTTTAGTTGTCTACTTTAAAGTAATTCAATTTCTTCACCAACTTGGCAAGAAACTCTTAAACGCGTGGAAATTGATATTCTTCTACCTTCAATAAGTTCTAGTGAATTTCGACAATCTATTCTATTAATTTAATCGAAATGAAACTATCCCCACAAGATGAGATTTCATTCGATTTTAATTAAAGAAAGTGGACAATATGAGTTCTCCAATCCCCCAAAAGGGATGTTACTAGCTCAATCGATGAAGTTCCGAATACAACGAAATTGTGTCAAATAATGTTTCTTTCCCGAGCAAAGAAATAATAACACCCATTACGTAGTTGAATAAAGGTTTTTCTAAATTTATTGATGTGACACAACTTGGTCATTCAGGGAAAATAGCTTGATTGAAGATATTTTTTTATTGCTGTTTGCTGCAGAATTCAAGAACCACAAGTAAACACAACATATAATAATTAAATATGGAAGATTTTTTTTTCTAATAAAATAAATAAATAAATTTATTGTGAATTTGTATTGCAACTACAAGCAAAGTGGTTAATCAAGGTCAAAGAAAATATAGTCAAACAAACAAGATGGCAAAGAATAGAAAGGGTCGAAAATCACATGGAAAATCTCATTGATGAGCTGTGTTACAACTTACAAATGTTATACCATCACATTTCATATAGTATGGGCCTATACTGCACATCTTGTATTTATTGACCAAATTGATGAGTCACAAAAAGTTTAAGTTTCACAGAAATTTGAACACATTTGTTCAGACAACACATGACAGATTTTCATTAAAAAAAAAAAAAAAGAAACATAAAAACTCTCAATCACAGGCTGCCAAATCATCCTTTTTTTTTCCCCTGTTCGTTCAATACTATTCAATGTGTAATGAGATTTGCTTCAACTCAATGGTGGTCAAAATTGAATCTGGGACTTTCATTTGATCGGACTAAGTTTTCGGACCATATGAATGATTAAGAAGTAAGCCCATGTTTGAGCCACATTTTTACCTCATTAAAATGAAAAATATGACCGTTATCCATCACATCAAGCCACCATTTTTGAATTTCTATCTCTGGTGTGGGGCCCATAACGACTTTATTTCTCATTCTCATTCTCATTATAATGTGGTTCAAACAGGCTCTAATTGAATATAAAATGGGTTCAAATATCTTACCGTTCAAATTCTACTGCAATACATGTGATTTAAGCTTGATATTCAAGTCTAAGAAAGAGTAAGTATAACAGCTAGCAACGTGATAAATTTGACCCCAGCACAACCCCCTTCTTCCGCCATTAGAACCCCAATATTCTACCTTCTCATAAAGTTCGTTGGACATTTTCTTATAGTGAACAGTGACTCTTCACATCAAATTATGAAGACGTGGTGACACTCCAATTAATACTAAATAAAAAATAATGAATTTTCCGCTGGATGGACATTGGTGGTACAAGGGAATTGTTTAGCATCTTCTCATAATCAATTCTTGGGAACAAACAACATCATTATGTTTATTACATCAATCTTCACAGATATATGCATACATGAATATATGATGCATACACTAATAAATGTTCAAGTACCAACCTTCTTTTGGGAGTTGCCCTCGTTGTTGATGACATGTTTGTACATTGCACGAACTCTTTAATTTAATGTATCCCGTGCCGACAAACATAGCTCCTTCCCATTCAAGGAATTCCAGAGAACTTCTGCAAGTGACATAGATGTTTCAGAAATGGCATTCAAAGTCTAGAATGTAATCAAATATCAATTGAACTAATGCGACACGGAGAACCGGGAAATTTGATAACATTTTCATTGGTTAAAGAATAACAAATTATGAATCAATGACCTCAGTTTCTTCCAAGTCAAAATTTTAATGTTAATATATGAAACTACTATTTTTATTTATTATTATTATTTTTAGACCTAATGAAATAAGAAAACCCAAGATGTCTAAGCAGCCAGCACTGACAATAATATGAAAATAATAGAACAATCTTGTATTGTAGCATGGAGATGGAAGTTCTTGCCATTTACAAGAGAAAAAGCAATAAGGTGCAAGCAAAACTTATTAATTTATTTATCAGAAGGTAGAGATGGTTGCATTAAAGCCTCTTGAGGGAGGCTTTCAAACTATGTAACACGGATATTTCAACTAAGGTAGTGTGTCTGTGTCTGAAACCAACACGTGTCGATATCGACATTCCTCGAACACTCTACCATAAATTCCCTTTTCCCTTTTTATTAAAAATATTATATATTTTAACTCAAAATTATCAATGAGTAACAAATATGTACTCATGTTAAAAAAATTACAACAAGAATAATTAATAACAAGTATATAACTAAATTTACACAATATAAATGAAGAATTTTAAAAAATTTAATCAACATGACTTTTTGAAAAATCGCGTGTCGACGTATCCGACACATATCATGTCGGACACACGTGTCTATGTCGATGCATCATAGCTTTCAAATGTTGCTGAAGATTTGCGAGATAGCTGCAATTCAACACGTGAAACAATTCCCATTTATCATGTTAAAGTCCCAAAGTTCTATCATCTGTCTGCAAAAAAAAAAAGGCATTGTATCAACATTAGCTCCGATAAGGCGACAACACAATTAGCATACTAGGCAGCAAGTAATATTTAAACTCTCTGGAGGATCTCTCTTTTTTTGAACTATATATTAGTCTTGCAGAGGCGACTTGAGAGAATATTCTGTATACCTCAACTCTTGATTTCAAACCATTAATAACGTATATATTTTTCAACAAATTGACTTATCATAAAAGTCACAACATGTAGCAATTATGGAAAATCTGAAGTTCACTAATGTACAATTTTCTATGAATCTTTTTCTTCCATGGTTATTCAACATCTGCAATTTAACAAATTTTCACCATCAGCCCATCACCAAAACTGAAGAACACAGCGATATAAAAAGAAAATATTTAAAATTTGATAATAATATTTAAAATTTTAATATAAAATTAAAATACCATTCCAAATATTATAAAAAATATGGAACATCACCATTGTGGTTCCCGTTAGAATAGAAAATATTTTTTGCCAAAAAAAAAAAAAAAAAAAAAACATAATACGAATGAGGAGACATCTAAAAGGACCAGTACTTAAAGGCAACCAAGGTATTAGAGAAATTTAGGGTGACTGGAGGCTAAATCATCAAATTAGATGGAAGAGATGCCAACTCCAACAGACAAGGACAAAAGCATGAATAACACGTGGATCAACAATGAATTAAGCTTTTTAGCCAGAATTTGGTGCCCACCCCTTTGACAAGGGTGTTACTAGGTTTTCATTAGTGCAAAATTTGTTATGTTTTTCAAACTGGCAAATAATAGAATGCCATGCGGCATTCTGTCAAATAATGTGTTAAAATTGTCCGGCATTGATCAACAATTTCATTCAGCATCCTATGTCAAGGGAGAATATTTCGTTCAATAATCTCCAAGCGTAGAAATTTATTCTGAGGTAGAGACAAGATAGGGATGTGAATGACACAAGGTCAATTCACAACTGCTGCATTAAAGCAACCTGATATGGACAAACTAAAATGGAAACTTTCATAGTTCTATAATGAAGAAGAGACAATTAAGCTTTTCCTCAGCACAGCATTCTTTCTGATTTTCCTACTAAATAGCTCAAAAATTTCCAGTCATTAATTAGGCCCCTGTTTGATTTAGCCAAAAATAAGATTTTTAGTAGATTTTGATAAAATTTGACGAAATGTTGTTGAAAAGTTGATAAAAGTTGCGAGTTCCATGGAATGTATCGTACAAAATGAGTTTTACGAGAAAGTGAATTTTAGAAAATGGGGGCCAAATAGGGGCTAGATAGTATGTAGCAGGTGGTAATGGCATGCACCTGCCTAAAACTGTTAGAATAGAAATTTATATCACTCAGTGCACTGGTACATTTTTCTTTCATGAACTGATTTATTGAAGACACCAACGCGGCTGTGATCAGTGGGGTGAGTTTTATCACCACTGGGGCTGTTATTGGAGAGACAATGCTGGAGTGGTTATGGGTGTCCAAGTGAAACATGAAGTTTGGGACCTTTCTGTTGAAGATGCCGAGGCTATAGCAGTTAGATAGACTTATTTTTGCATAAAGCTATGGATTCCAAGTGGCCCTGGTGGAGAGTGACTCACAACGGGTCGTTCAATCCTCAGATCTGATTTTCCTGTCCTCCAAACCCCTCTATTTTATTTAAAATTTATCCATGTTTAAAGATACGATTTGTGGTTCGCGTTGTAATGTTACTTGCAAGGGGAATAAGGTAGCACACTTCATTGCATCTTATGATGTCATTTATCTTGGAATTAGAGTTTGGATTGAATGTATTCCTTGGTTTGTGTCGTCTATAGTTTGTGGCAACTTGAATTAATGAAATACTAGGTTTTTGCTCCCAAAAAAGAAAAGAAAAAATTCCTATCATTTCTCTCTCTATTATTTCCCTTGTCTCTCTCTATATCCCTCCATTCTCTCTTTATCACACATCACCGCCAGATATACTATTGGCACTGCGACACAACGCTCAAGACGCCACCACCGCAGCGGCATCGCTCTGAAGTAGTCAGAGCCAATGCGAAGCCGCTGGTCTCGTCACTCTGAAGCAGACATCGCTGCTACAAATCTATTAAGAAGATGTATGATGAGTCTATTATAAGCAATGACGAGCGCCGCTACTTCTTGGTGATTGTTGATCACGGTGTTTGACAAAAAAAAGGGTGTAATTCTGTGGTAGTGCAGTGACCTGTGGTGTGTGGTGGTGATATGTGTATGCTGTGGTGTGTGTGGATATGTGCGGTGGCGATCTCTGTGTGTTGTGGTGTGTGCAGTGATGCTAGTGGCAGTGGTGTGATGGGTGAAGTTAGGATATAGCGACGATATTTTTTGGGGTTTGGGTTGGTTTTTTCCTCTGATTTACTTAATCGAAGTTTTGGGGGTGTGCGATGCACTGTGTGGTGTTTTTGCCATTGCGGTGGTGGTGGTGGTGGTGGTGATGTTGATGTTAGTGGTGGTCGTAGAGATAATGGATAATTTTAGATCTGATTTTTTAGTGGTGTTTGGGTGGTGGTGGTTGTGATGTTGGCTGTGATAATAAGGTGGTGGTGATGTTGGCAATGGTGGTGGTTGTGGGTTGATGGCATGGGGCAGGGGTGTTTGAGATCAATAATTTGGTTGACTGTGACAAATTAGTTGATTTGTAACCAATAAATAATATGTGACCAATTTGTGGGTTGATGGTATGAGGCAGGGGTGTTTGAGATCAATAATTTGGTTGACTATGACAAATTAGTTGATTTGTGACCAATAAATAATATGTGACCAATTTGTGGGTTGATGGTATGAGGCAGGGGTGTTTGAGATCAATAATTTGGTTGATTGTAACAAATTGGTTGATTTGTGACCAATTATTTGAATAAATTGGATAATTTGTCATCAATAAATAATATGTGACCTATAACTTGTCACCAATAAATGATGTGACCTCAAAAATTGAATCGTGACCACCGAAAAAACATAGAAGTAAGGTATTGGGAGAGGGGAATATGCCTTGCATAGTTTCTTTCTGATGAAAATTGTCCGTGCAGAGCTTATTCCTTACATTATTAAATCAAAAACATAAATATAAGCATTCCCGCTAAATTGATGAAAAGGCACGACAAATGCCATTAGTTTATAACATCACTTGTATACAAGCCTAATCATTTCCATCTGCAAGTGAAGTAATAATTTACGATGAGGTCCTACCAAGTGCTCACATCACAAATTTCATAACTGAGAACCATAGTCCCGTGTTCATTAAGTTGTTGCAAATGCGAGAAATGGAGAGGAATTAACTACAATCACCATGCTACATGGTTTATAAACAGGTCAGTATATCACACTTTCACATCCCCACTGTGGTGAAGAGATTTCACAATCCCTTCCCTCCCCTACTTAATTCTTGACCCCCCCAAGCCCGAGTTAGCGTCAAACAGACAAGAACTGTAGGAGGCATTTACAATTCTATAGATTGCCATCTGTCGTGCTCCAGGCCTGCGAGGCCATGACAGGATACATGCTTCAAGTCCCACTGGAGCACCACAGAATAGGCCTAGCAAAAAGAAAGCAAGTATGGTGGTGATCTATGGTCGTGCAATTGACTTAAACGGAGGGGAAGTCATTTCTCTAAATACCACAGCATGGATCCAACATGGAGTCATGTGGAAAGTGGAGATTTGAGTTTTTATCTCAATAGGCATTGAAATCATGAATAATATCATCATGCATTTGAATTTTGAATATACAAACTACTTAACTGTGGTCTAGTTCACGGCCTCCAAAGGTATCTGATAAAATGCAAAAGGGATAACATAAACAATAGAAAATATAAATGCAATGGGTGAATGTAGGAGAGGAAGCCTCTCCAATTAGTTTAGCACATTGGTGATCCCCATGTAAAGACCCTCAGAAGTCATTATTTCATTATTCCTCAAGCAAGTTTCCATTTGTTACCAAGATTAAACAAGACATAAACTAGGAAATTCTCTGTGATAGGTGCATTAAGTAAGAAATTACATACGGATCCCAAGCAGCCCGTAATGCTAGTCCATTTGATAATTTAATAAGAAAACTAATATTGAATCAAAAAAAATTTGCGACAAATAACAATTATCTTGTGATAGGTCGAGATAAGGAACTAAAAGTGTGGTTTTTAAGACCTGAAAATAAGAATATATAGCTTAAAGCATCGACAAAGTAGGGGTACCTGGAGTTCAACAAGCCGCTTCCTGAGCAATAACTACTTCAGCGATACCATCTTCTTTGTCGCCAGTACCCACTCTCTAAGCACTCAGGTATGCAATTTCAATCGTCTATATATTCTTGGGGAGATGAAGAAACAGAAGTAACTTGTTGAGGGAGCGAGAGATTTAGAGATCTTCCTAGTAATTGAGGACGGGGACGGTGGAAAACCTTCCCTCGCCCTGGGCATAAGTCAGATCGCCGCCGGCGATCGCTGGTAGCAGTGCGAGCGGGGCGAAATTTGCCGCCATCTCTGTTCCTGTCGCCGCTTTTGTACCGATTATCGTTAAGTTGCAACATTACAGAAACGCTTTTCGAGAGTTCAATTAACTTTTTGTACATGTACTTTGACGATATTTTTGACCGGGGTGTAATTTGACGAGATTATAATTGTTGGATTACTCCCCCGTTTATTTTCTATTGTTCGTTGATTAAAATGAAAAATATGATCGTTATCTAACACATCAAACCATCATTTTTTACTTTCTATCCGTTGTGTGAAGTCTGTTACGATTATATTTTTCATTCTCATTATTACATTAATGTGTACCAAATAGAACCTAAATGTGTGAGATATGAAAGATGGTGTGAAATTTTGTCAAGAGTAATTTTGATAAGTTAGGATAGGGGTGACCGCGGTTGGACTTGGACGATTTGTACTATATTTTCAATTCAAATCATTTTATGCGATTTGAAATTTTTTCAAATCAAATCAAACCATTTTATTTTTCGAACCAAACCAAACAAAACCATAATTTGCGATTTAGTTCAATTTTAATCCGCGGTTTACCTATCGATATTATAATAATATATTTAACATAAGTTAACATATAAGTTTAAACGAGAATTAATAATGTTATTAATATTACATGAAATCCGTGAACAAATTATTTTCAAAGTTGATTACTAAAAGATGTTAATTAAATAAATACATTTTTCTTCATTTTTATTTACCTTTTTCTTGTTGGACATTCATATTGTCATATAGCGGCTAGGGTAGAATTATTTTTTGCTATTATAGTTTGGTTAAAACTCCTTTCTTCTTGCTAGTGAGATGTTAAATAAGGATTGAATAATATATATTTAGATGTATAAAGATTGATAGAGTTTCGGCTTGGGAATTTGACGAATTTTATTCTCTAACTATTTTATGAAAGTAGAAGTTAATAGTACTAGTTAAGAAACTTTAACATTTTCATACAATCAATATGATCCGTCCTTCGTTCTTTTCAAACCATAAACAAGTTTATTAATCACCTAGGCACACAAACAATTATTTTTTATCCAAACCACAATTCACTAGTGTATAATAAATTAAAAAAACAACAAATAAAAGAAAGAACAACGAAAAATGGTTTGAATGAGAATATAAGATTTACCAAAAGAGAAGAGAGAAAGAGGCAATTTATGTAGAAATTCACAAACAGTTTTTTTCTATCCAAACAACAATTCACAAACAATTATTTTCTATCCAAACTACAATTTACAATTGTATAATAAGTTCAAAAATAACAAATAAAAGAAAGACTAAAGAAAAATGGCTTGAATGAGAATATGAGACTTACCGAAAGAGAAGAGAAAAATAGGCAATTCAAATGGAAATTAGCAGATTAACAGGCAAAGGCAACTGATGATTTGTCCAGCAGTAACAGACAAGCGTCAAATATTAGGGAAATAAGAGTTTATGTTAGGACTTCTGAAACTTTGGACGTAATTTGCTAACGTAGTTTTGTTTAATTATGATTTGGATTATTGAAAATATTTTTTTTTTCCATTTCATATGATTGTGGTATAATTTTAGTTTAGTTTAGATATCAGGTGAGGACATCTTGTTAAACCATGGGCTAATAATGATGAAACTAACTTACTTTATATGATTATTTCAATTGGTTGGTTGTAATTTATATTGTTAAATTGAAATTTTTTTTTTGAAAAGTGAAAATTGTATAATTTTTAAGTTAATAAAATTAATGTTTTAATTAAAAAAATTTAAAACGGTTCGATTTGGTTTTATGTGGTTTTCGAAAATCAAAACATAAACCAAACTATTTTAAAATGGTTTGGTTTAGTTTGAGGGCAAAAAATCACAGGTCCACGTGTACCCATACCAACAATTTTAACTCAATGATTTTGATTCAATTTGCGATTTCGTGATTTTTTTGTGCAGCCCTAAGTCAAAATATAAATCATGATGTACATGTAACAAGATTATTTGAGAGTTATATATACATATACACACATATATAACATTCTTCTCTATTAGTCCATGTTTGACCACCATTATTTCAAAAAATAATAATAATAAATTTACATACTCATTTTTAATCTCATATTCATATAATAAAATATTTTACATGTAAACCAGAATTTTTTTTCTACTTTTTAACGAAATATTCTAAAAAAAATTACTATTTAAAGCTTAATTTTACCCAAATAGTGATTGTCAAGGGCTTACAAAGAAAATATCGTTTTTTTTTTCTTTTTTGGGGAATGCTATAAACTTCAAACGTGTCTAAATAATGTATAGATTTTAAAAGGATTATTAAAACAAAACATTTTTTTTCTCGATTCGTTTTCAACAACACATTTTCACAACAAAATACTTCATACATATATTCAAAAAAAAATATTCATATTTTTTAATAACGTATTTACTAAAAAAAAAAAAAAAAAACTCATTTTAATGATTGTCAAATAAAGGCTAAAGTGTTAAACTATTTTGTAATTATTTGTAAAGGATAGAAATTGTTCTGAAAGTTTTAATTGAACATAAAAACGTTTTAGCTAATATTTTTTAGAATAATTTATAACCAAACATTATATGTCTTCATAATTAATTATTATTTATTACTTTTCACTTGAAAGTCCTAAAATAAAGTACCAAGAGGCGTTGAATTGAATTTCAAAAACTTTTTCAAAAAATTAATTTAAATTCAAGAAAGTTATGAATGAATAAATCAATCAAACAAAATGCACAAATACAAAAGCAATAAATAAAAGGAAAAAAAAGTATGCAAACGATTTGTGGAAGTTCGCTGCCAACCAATGATCTGTGTCTTTTGTTACCAAACTCTTCGTTACGAACAAGACATTTTCACTATATTGATTGACTTATGGTGTAATCTAAATTCTTACAACGTTTCTGGTGATCTATAAATAAGGAGCACTAATCGTTATACAATATTGAGTTTTACTAGATCTTAATATGACCTAACTATTGAGCTTTCGAAGGATCTCAATATGATCTACAAATTTGTAGAATATTTTTAACGCTTTAAACCGCTCTCTTAATAAAGAAACAAATGAATTTTGTTTCTAAGAGAGACCAACACTTTAATGAGTTGTAATAAAATGAGGAAAAGTCTACATGTAATTAATTATTGCATATAATGTTGTCCATAATATGATGTGACAATCATACGATTGTTGATGTGAAAGTGTGAGATTTGAATTAAATGTTAGATCTAATACCGCATGTAATTATGGACACCATTATGTAGACAATTATGTACATATAACACTTCCCATAAAATGAAACTCAAGTATTAGAAGAGAAAATTTTAATGAAAAAATGATTTTCAAATAGTTGATTCACTGAAGCAAAAGTTTTCAAAGTAAATATCTTATGAATTAGATAAAAGATAAACTGAAAGAGTTTTGCTCAATAATCTCTCATTTTAATGATGTTAAAGAAAGACCGTACTATATGTACACGAACGTTTACTCGCCTCATTTTAAAAATTATTTTTATATTTGATCAGAGCATTTTATCACTTTTAGTGCACAAAAATAGCTTTTTAATGCATAAAAATGCTTTTGAGCTTAAAACATTTATCACTAAATATCAAAGTACTAATACTCTTACACTTGATCTGAAAAAGGCCTAGCTCTTGATATCTCTTTGGCTATTAGGCTTTCATCTTAAATGATATTTTCTTGAATGCTTGGAAAACTTTGACTTCAATCTTGGCCATTTTTGTGAGTCCAAATTGTGACAATAGTTTTTGATCTTTTGACGACATCGATCAATTTTTCATTATATGCTTTGAAAAACTAAGATTACTTAAATTCAATATATTTGGAAACAAAATTAACTTATTTGCCATGATCAGAAATGTAAAGTTATAATCAACTCATTTGCCATGATCAGAAATGTAAAGTTATAATCAACCATAGGTTAACATCAATTACACCTTAAAAAAATGTTTCTTCTTTTGATTTTTTTTCTTTTTTAAATAACGATATAGAATTCATGCAAAATTTTCCCTTTTTTTTTTTTTGTGCATCCAAGTTCACTATATTATTTAATTAATTTAGGGATTTTTATTATGACAATTATGTAACTGAAGTATTTGTTATATTTTTTAGGACTTTACTATATGTACATTAAGTCTCATATAATGTTATATGATATTTTATCATTAAACATTTTCAAATATAGTCAACTTAGTGGGGGTGTGGTGACACTCTGTATTCTAGCCCATAACAAGCCCTTTGGGCAACAACATAGGGCCTGACTTTCGGTATTACCAAACCTCCATATGGGATCATATAATCAGTAGTGCCAAATTTTCTGATGCAGAGGATCTTCAAAGAGGCAACTGCAGAGCATACTTTTAATACTACTTAGATCTTGTTCTTACTTATTCATTTTGAAATTTTCACAGTTATCAAGACTAAGGAAGAACAAAGAAAGGATTTTAGAAGAATATTGTTAAGAAGAACAAACTTTTTATTAAGAAGAGTTGAGCTCGAGATGATCCTCAATGAAAGATAAGAGTTCCTTATATAGAGGAGGAGCCTCATCATACAACCGACACAAAACTAATAATACTACTAATGACTCATCACTTTTAGTACAATACTTATTACATAAGGACATGACTCACAACTTAAAAGGACATGACTCATCACTTTATTAGCATGACTCACTACTTTTAGTACAATAATTTTACAACCATCTTTTAAAAAGTAAAGAATCTACTTTTTAAAAGGGATTTTATTGCAAACGTCAAAATGATTATTTCACACGAGCTGCTGAGTCATCAAGGTGTTCCAAGATTTGCTTCTCGTCTAGGTTCATTTGAATCATTTGAATCAGAGGGGAGTCCATGTTGCTTCCACCAAGGCCAAGTTGTAGTATCAAATTTTTCTTCAAAAAAATTTTCTTCCAATTTTTCAAGATTGTCTGGGTCTGTTGGATCAAAATCATACGACTGTGTTCCATAATCATATGGATCTTGAGAGTCCTGGAAAACACTGTCATTATAATTTATTTCCGTGTCCAAATATCTTGAGTTTTGTTTGTCTGGATTGTTTGATCCTGGTTTGTCCACGTCCATTTTATCAA